ACTACTCCCATAATCCAAAGCAGGTCTGGCCGATTCCCAGGAATTCTCTGCTTTTCTGGTCTTCACTGCCCTCTTCACTTCCCTCCAACTCACTCCCAAGTCAATCAATGATGCTGCTTTGCAGTTTCTCAGAATCCTGTTCTTTTTACACAGGATGCAGGTCAGACTGATATGTGTGCGTGATGATAATCAGGCTAAACACAGTGTTTTCTTCTTATAATTTATGTTCAGAGTCCCTTTCTGTTTTCTGGAGTGGGGCCCGTTTTTTGACCTTTGATCTCTCTCCTCTCAGAATACTGTAAATTAGATGAATGCAAAATGCAGTATTTAGGTCTCCTAGGGATTCTCCAAGGTCACTCCTAAACAGTTTATGGGATGGAAAGCAGACGGTACAATAAACATTGAGTGACGCCGTCCATGTGGACAGCTGGCTGCCAGGCCACACCACGACAAACTTCGGCCTCTCCAGCTCAGAATGTGATAGGTAGCAAAGGCTTGCAAGATATGGACTGAGTCCTTCAACTAGAGGAACTGGATGATCTAAGGGACTCAGATTTGGAGACTGCAAGAACTAACTCCCCTTCACCCCACAGAAAAATCAGTCAGTCAGCCCTTTATATCCATAGGTTCCGTGCCTGTGGATCCAGCCCTTCCTACCCATAGGCTCTGGATCTGGTATCTTTGGGTTTAACTAATTGTGATCAAAATGATTTTTTTTTTTTAATCTGCCTGTGTGCTGAGCATGGACAGACCTTCCCATCATTGCTCCCTGAACAGCATGATGTGACAATTTCTGCAGTGTTTGCCTTGTCATTATAAGTGCAGAGATGATTTAAAGTATGTAGGGCTGGGGAGATGGCTCTGCAAGTGTCAGGACCTGAGTTTGAATCCACAGCACCCATGTCAAAAACCATGTATGACCATGCATGCCTGTAGTCCCTGCACGGAGGTGGAGAGCCGAGAGTCGGATTCTGGGACCTTTTTGGACAGCCAGCCTAGCTGAAACTGGGGCTTCAGTGAGAGACCCTGTCTCAAGGTGGTAGGGTACTGCACACACAAGGGATATCTCTATGTGGAAGTGTGAGGTAATTATCCTCATGGTCTTTCCTGTTTCTCACTGCATGCTGTTTCCATCTATTGAGAAACGAGAAATGTGTGGGAGGTTTGTTTGTTTTTTGTTTTTTGGGTTTTTTTTTTTTTGCATAAAACAAGGATCACATGGGGAGGCAAGAAGACAGTGTGAAGTAGGAGCGACAGCTGATTGATCTGTCACTATCTCAGACACGCATGTGGGCATGCTCAGATCTCCAATGTCATGCTGAGTGTGTCATGGTGAGTGTGCCCTCTTTTGCCTCTGGGCAGAGTGGCTTGTCAGGGGCCCTAGTGGCAGCTTGATTGGAGGACAAAAGAGCTGAATTGGCGAGTTCTAGGTAAAAATGAAGACACTGTCACAAAATAACTAGATAGAAGATATCTTCAGGAATGAAACTTGAGGTTGAGGTCTGGTCTACACACACACACACACACACACACACACACACACAATAATAATAATAATAATAAAAATAATAATAATAAAATAAGACATTAGAATCTGACTATTTTACACTTACAAAGACATTAGAGTCTCTTTTTATTTTCAAGTTCATTATTTTAAGAAAACACGTCCACTGTCCAGAACAAAGTGAGCTGATACCAGAGTAAGTGGTCCTCACTCAGGAGAAGGAGGGGGCTGGGCTGTGCATCCCCCCTAAGCCTGGTACCTTTCCCCTGGAGAAGCCCCCGGGTGACATCCAGCACAAAGAGGTCACAGCAGAGGTCACATCCCAGCACAAAGCAGGGAGCACATTCTGCAGGACAGGATGAGCCAGGTCTGAGCTCTGGCTGGTGGCTCTGGTTCTCGTAATAGAAATTGGTCAGCATCAGTGTCTCCTTAGAAGTTTGCCGCCAGCACTGAAAAGCTACTCTGGAAAGCTGGCTGGGGGTCACCTGCCGCTAAGGTTCTCCTCATAGCCTCATTTACACGGCACTCTGCTTCATCTACCTTCCGCCCTGAGCCTTCCCTCTGCTCCACACTCTGCCACTCTCCTTCTTGTCTTAGGTCTCACCTCACAGGGCTGCTTCTGACTAGCCTGTGGAAGGCAACCACTGCCAGGCACTGGAGAGCCATCTTTACTAAGGGTTTGGGGACACAGTGGTGTGCACTTAGCAAAGCTCGTTAAGTGTTCAGTTGAGATATGTATTACTCAACACCAGAAGGACTTCCGGTTAAGGAGGTGCGTGCTGAGTGTCTGCAGGCAAAGTCAGAGAATAGTTTCTCCTCTTCCTAATGCCTTGTCACCTGCCCTTCCTCCCTTCTGTTAGCTCTCGCCTCCCCTCTCTCGTTTCCATGCCGTCGTGGTCCAGGCAAGCAGCATCTCTCCCAGGGCTGCCCACTTCCATCCTGTCTACCTGCAGTCTGCATGGCAAGTGAGGGAAACTTCCAGACTGTAAATAGGACCCCACTACACACCTGCGGAAGCTGTTGCCTGGGTTGCCATCACCTGCCCCCAGAAATCAGCCACCACTGTGCCCATAAAATCCACCCTCCCCCCCCCAGGGGCCTGGCCCCCTCGCCCTCTTTAGACCTTCCTACTCACTGTTCTTCCCCCGCAACCTCCAAACCTATCTCAATTCTCGAGTCCTTTGCACCAAATGCTCCTCTTTCTGGAACCTTCTTCCTCTTGTGCCCGGGGTGGAGAGTCGGGACCACTCTCTGCCCTCTGCCTGGAAACGGCTTCTCTCACTTCAGTCCGTAGTCTTCCTCCCTTCCACCCACGCTCAGTTTCAGCCATGGCAGTCTTTTCTTTTCAAACTCATCATCTCTCTTCTCCCAGTGGCCTCCCTGGAGCTGATTCTCCTTCATTCCATTTTTCTGACACCTTGGTGTGAACTTTTCGTTCTCGCTCCCTCTCTGTCCTTTAGGCCTGTGCCCATCGTTGGAAGAACATCTACTATGAAACGGACCACATCCTGCCCCACGGATTCTGCTACCTCATCCCATCCAACCTCCAGGCCAAAGGCAGGGTGCTGATCCCCTGCTATGAAGGTGAGTGCGGCTCGGTCCTCCCCAGTGCCCTCCTTACTGGGGGGCTCCAGACGTTCCCAGCCCTGTCCCTCCACACCACCACCTTAGCATTCCCCTGGCTTTCCACACGCTGACATGAGAGTGGGGTTATCTGTCCTGAGATCGATCCTGGCATCAAAGTCATGTCCAGGGAAGAGGCGACTGCAAAGGGGACAGTGGTCCAGGTCCTGACCGGCCCTGCCTGTTTCTGCCACAGAACCCACGGTGCTCTTTATGAAGTCCCAGAGACAAGCTGTAGCCGACTAATCCAGAGCTTCCCTTAGGTTCCTGGAACTGACAATCACTGTAGGGTCTTGGGAAACTTACTGTCCTTTTCTGGACCCAAGTTCCCTTCTCAGAAAGGTCAAGAACTTGTCCACAGCACCACTGCAATGCCAGGATGGTCACTGGACTTCCACATAACTCCTAGATGTTCTAGGCTGGGGAAAGGGACAGTCCAGTGTCCATAAAGCAGTGATGTGGCAGAAGTTGAACACCCAGCCCAACTTATCCAGTCATCTTATGGCATCCTACTTTTGACTGTCACTGAGTGTCCTGCAACTGGACAGAAGCACAGTCCTTGGGTCTGAGGAACACTTGGTATCAGTCTTCCATCACTTTGTAACAACACATTTTCATGTCACACAATAATAAACATGGGTTCATTTTTTTTCACTTGTATAACTCCACACAGGCTGGAATCAGCAGAGCTTGGAGGGCTCTGGCTGCAGGTTCAGTCAGGTCCATTTTACATGTTGCCTTCTGAGACCAGTGAGCTCCACAGGATATGCTGTGAGAACACAGAGGCACTTGGGGTCTTCTAGGGTGCCCTGCTTACAACTGCAAATGCTCCGGCAAGACTTAGTCATTGTTTAGCCTGTTGAGTCTGAGCTTTAGGTGCATGTTGGTGGCCTGCATGCCCTCCTGTCCTAGTCCCGTTCTGGTGAGCTGAGCCAGCTCCCTCCCTAAGTGCCAGGCTCCTTGGTTTCTAGTTGTCTCTCACTTGTTGGAAAAGAGGTCTCACTGGCCTGGGTCCACACTGCCTTGTGATTCCCTGAGCTTTCTTAGGTTTTGCCCATGTGGCCATCAAGAGCATTCTGACACTGTCTGGACATTGTAAATTATTTTTGTCTCATGCGGGAGATCCCAGGACACTATTGTGTAGCAGGAATCTTAAAAGGTCTTATTGGGTTGGAGGAATAGCTCAGCCGTTAAAGGCTAGGCTCACAACCAAAAATATAAAAGGTCTTATTAATTAAATCAAACCTGAGGCCAGTTATTGGGGTGAACACTGGAAGATCAGAGAGACAGAACAAGCCACAGCTAACCTCACCTGGCCAACTTTTCAGATGGTCTTGTTTCCTCAGACTGGAAACTTCTGTGTCCTCATATCCCAATGGCTCTCAGCTGAACTGTGCTGCTAGAAAGCCTGAAAGCTTAACCAGCCAAATGCTTCTAGTTTTTGGTTCTCACGCCTTATAGACTTTTCTGCTTTCTACCGCCACTCCCTGGGATTAAAGGCATGAGTCACCATGCTTAGCTGTATCCTTGAACACATGGATTTCTGCCTCTGGAATGCTAGGATTAAAGGCGTGTGCTACCACTGCCTATCCTAAGTATCTAGTGACTGTTCTGTCTCTGACCCCAGATAAGTTTATTAGGGTACACAATATTTTGGGGAACACAGTGCCACCACACTATTGGGAACTCAGAGGATCCAAGCAGGATGTTCTGTGAGCTGTTGTCTACAGAAAGGCCAGCAGGGACGTGACCGGAGGCATGCGCTCTCTTCTGGTGTGAAGATGGGCCAGATTCATAGCTGCTGTCCTTCTCTGCTTCAGCATCTGGTTGGCTCAGGCTGGCCAGACGGGAGGGCTGAACTCTGGCCCTGTCCACCTCCATATTGTCCTAATGGGAAGAAAAACTTGATCTTAAAAAGGTGGTGACATAGTCAGGGGTGGAGCTCAGCTGGCCGAGGGGCTGCCGGGCGTGCGTGAGGCCCAGGATGTTTACCTTCCAGGCCAGCTAGGGTACATGAGCCCCTGTCTCAATTGAATGAATGAATGAATGAATAATAAATGTCATCAGTCAAGGGTTGGATCCAAGGAGCACCATGACAGGTTATCGGTTTCCTACCCACCCACCTCAGCACTTCCCAAATCCCACACAACTCACTAGTCCCAAAACACAAACACACAGAACAGACCTGACCTCCACTCGTAGCTGAGAAATCAGCATTCGTTATCATTTGCCGTGAAGAATCACAGTTGTTATGCAGAGGTAGCTAACTGGTGCAGGGCTCAGCCCAGGAACTCTGAGTTCTCATGCTTTTGGTTATTTCTTGACCCCACAATGATCAGATGGAGCCAGAGAAGAAATTAGCAAGATGGTTTTGCTCCCACCTGACTTCCTTCCTTAAGGACAGACACGCATTCTAATTTGTCCTTTGGCAAAGAAACCAGAACGGGTGGGGCTGGTCTCGGGAGTCCCGGGATGAAGGGCAGCTGCTTAGGAAAACTGAGAACTGGACAATGGTTCTGTGTTCTTGGATCTGTAAGCTGAGAGGGCTGGTGATGCTCAGATCTCTCTAGAAGACTGGGCTGGTGAGGCGGGATTAGGTGGGGGCAGGCCACAGTGAGAGGGCCCTTGCCTGTACTGTTGGTTTTGGAGACCTCTGCTTCCCTGTTTTGTGGTCTAAATGAAACCAACTTGGGCTCCTAAAACAACCATTATTTTCTCTTAATGTGGAAAATCTCAGTGACGCAAGCTCCCTGTTCCAGGTGGGGAATCACATTATGGTTAAGGACAATGGAAGCATTTAGTGTTTAACAGAACCTTTCAGATGTCATCTAGATGAGCTTCCGAGGTGTATCAAGGTCCAGAGAGATAAGCATGGTTATGCAGATAAGCATGATTACGCAAGTTGGAGAATTCATTCGGTGATTCACTGTGTGGAAGGTGAGTGAGTCACACAGTGGCTGGAACAAAGCTCAGGACCCCAGATGCCGGAGTCTGAAGTCCTCTCTCTCATTAACACTGTGACAGTGGATGAGGATTTAAATTCTGTGTCTAGCTTAAGTGATCATACTTTTGATTTCTTAGAGCAATGTCTAGCATATATCTGCTAACATGGTACATGCTGAGCATATTACATATGGTGATATGCTTCTTTTATGCCAGTGAGCTAGGCACTAAGCAAGACTTATTATCAGTGTAAGGTGACTGACTTGTGTTTCAGGAACAGAGCCCGTATAGTTTTGTTAAGTGCCTGACAGGCATCAGATAGACAAAATCCCACAGACACAGTCCAAGAAGAGAGGGCAATGGGGCATCGGGGTGTAAAGAAGAGAGAGAGGGGAGCATGTGGGGACTGAAAGGGAACCAGTGGGAATGGGGAGGGGACGTGGGAGGGTAGCAAGGGGAGGGATACAAGTGTGTACTGACCCATGCATGAGCGATGGAGGGATACAAGTGTGTACTGACCCATGCGTGAGGAATGGAGGGATACAAGTGTGTAATGATCGATGTGTGAGCGATGGAGGGATACAAGTGTGTACTGATCGATGTGTGAGCGATGGAGGGATACAAGTGTGTACTGATCCATGCGTGAGGGATGGGGAGGTGGCTCAGTCGTCAAAGTGCCTGCTTTGACCAGAACTTTGACCACAGTTCAGGTCCCCATACAAACGCCAGGCGAGTGTGGCACAACCCTGGGAGGCAGAGACAGAGGGATCCCCACAGAAAAATGGTTAGCGAGACTAGCCGTTGTGATGAGCTCTGGGTTTGACTGAGAGGCAGAAGAGTACTTGAGGATGATTCCTGACACTAATCTTGGATCTTGACATGCATGCACACACACATACACACCATGAAAACATGCATACCCACATATGCAGATGCACACACATGAATATGAAAAATTACATACTTGAAAATGTCATAATTAAACTTATTTTTTACAATAATTAAAAATTGGATTAAAAACAGAAATCTTCCGCTTACAGGAGAGAGCATAGGAAACTTCATGTTTGAACATTGGTACTGTGTGGGATTGAATTCCCAACCTATACATGCTCTGTTGGGAATCTCTCCCCAAGGGCTTGAGCTGTATCTATGCTCAAGGAGGCATTAAGGCAGGAATATTGTATGATTGTGGACACTGAAATCTCCTTAAGGCTTACAGTCTGCATCAGTCAGGGAAGTGAGGGACAGAGGAACTCTGCTGTAAGTCACAGCAGCCAGCACAGGGCAGGGGCTGGAGAGACCCCGGCTTCCAGGTCACTTTCTGTACCACGCTGACAGAATGCAGGAGATGCTGAGGCAAGCTTGAGGGAGGATAATGCGCCACACTGCCTCCTCCTTGGCGCAGTTAAAGCTGCTGCCTGCTCTGCAGTGGGAGTGGATGGCGGCTTGCCTCCACTCCTCTTCGGGTTGTTATGGGGAGCTCATGAGAGAGCTGGGGTGACAGTGCTCAGAAAACCCCCTGTTGTTCCATTGTGGTGGCTCCTAGTAGGGTTTCCCAAGGGTCCACGGTGCAACCTTTGGAAGAGTGGGAGGTTAGCTTGGTAAAGTCTCTTTGTGTGGGTCACCGTTCCGAAATGTCTTCAGCTTTTTTTGTATTTTAAAAAAGAATTTATTGCTAAGAGGTGGTGGAACATACCTTTAATCCCAGCACTCGAGAGGCAGAAGCAGGTGGATCCCTGAGTTCGAGGCCAGCCTGGTCTACAGAGTGAGTTCCAAGACAGCCAGATCTACACACAAAATCTCTGTCTCAAAAGAAAAAAACAAAAAACAAAACAAAACAAAACAACAAAAAAAAACCCAGAGAGATTTTATTTTTAAGTGTGTGTGTGTGTGTGTGTGTGTGTGTGTGTGTGTGTGTGTATGAGTGAAGGTGCCCAGGAAAGCCAGAAGGGGGCATCAGATTCCCTGTAGCTGAATTTACAGGTGGTTTTGAATCATCACCTGAATTGGGTTCTCTG